GTTTGTTAGGGGTTGGGGGGGGGGGGTGACACAGACTACTTTCGGAGTATTCCACTCCTCATCAGTGACCCTGGACACTACCGCCAATGAAATAATAGACCATTCCAAGCTTTTATTTGTTGTTAAACAAATGTTTAAACAACTTTATTCAAGTATGTACCACCTGCCCAGTGTCGGCTAACAATACGAAGAATTAAATTGTGGCGGAAAGCTACAAGTTCTTCAAATACCTATAGAGTGATAGGATTCTTTTTTCTGAGTATAAAACACTTAAAAAAACAATTTGCTTGTAGTACTTTGTTGTCGTTGTTTTTATATACTATATATATTATTCTTATTGCTACATTATAAGCGTTTACTTCAGTTGATACTAAATTATTTCATTTTAACAAATATCATAAACCAATCCAAACGATGTTTTGAGCATCGTAAATTCTGCCAGCTAATCTTCCACCTACCCCGCCCCACCCACGGTTGCTCAGTGGTTAAAATCAAATTTTGACACCCGCGAGAGGCACAGCACAGATATCCCATTATGTAGCTTTGGGCTTAACAACAAACTGTCAGTTAACCCAAATCGTTTCTTACACTATAATTAATGCTGTTGATACCAACACTACTGTATATATTCTCCATTCTTTCGGTCACTGACAATAAACATTGAAATTCGTGATCAGAAAATTTTAAAAGCCCGAAATTACATTTAAAAAAGTAAATCGGAAAGACCAATTTTGAACGGTTATGGTGACTAAGCTAATTCCACAAATAAAGCGCTCAATCAAATGAGTTTTAATATAAATTTTTATTCATTTTGTCCAATAGAAAAAAATATGAATATTATTATTAATGAAGCTGTTATCTGAATTATAAAAAGTGTTTAAGGATGAAATATGTATATTCACATTATAATATATTTACTAAATATTCTTCTTCTAGCAAATCAACAAAAAAATAGTTTGCGAAATAACACAAAACATTGGTAGATATAAATAAAACAGGTTTACGTTTTTTTTGTTTTTTTTTGGACTTTCTTTCTATAAAAAGGCCAACGCGATTACAATGAGGAAGAACTCAACTAAGACTTTACATTCCATACATATCTTTGTACTGTAGCTTTCAAAGATTGACCGAAGTCTAGAGATTGAGGTTTGTGGTAACTGGAATATAATATATCCCAATATGTATGGTTGTAACCTTAAGAAACAAAACAAAAACGTGTGTTTTATTTACTATTTTCAACCTGAGCGGCACTTTATGCGAAACGTAAGCTAAACAGCCAGGTTAAAGGTTCTAAGGGTCAAGCTTAGCCATCCCTAATTTTCCTCAATCGAGAAGCCCTCGCCAGCCAAAACTGATTTCTATACGCCTGTTAAATAGCATTTCTGTCGTGGGAGTTAAGATTGCTATCTCCTCGCTACTATTTGTAATACTAACCACCATACTTAGTAGGGATTTGGGTAGGCAATTTTTGAGGTATTCGGAAATTGGGCAATTTCCCTTCGCCCTGCTCTTATTATAAAGTATTAAATCGCAGAAAAAAAAACACTATGTGCAATGTCGGATGAGGCCGCGATTTGAAGAAGCTAACTGCTGAACCATGTCTGGAATACTCTGACGGCCTGTAGTGTTATAGGCATTATACTGGTGTGGAGCTGTCTGATTGGTTGGAGAATAGCCAATCACAATATAAACTACCAGAAATTGACTACATTATGGTGCAATTAATTTTCGTACAATAGAGGAAAACATCTTCTAATATTTGCGTTTTCTCCCATTTTGTCCAATGTTTCAATAATTATTCCCGACATTGCATGTAGAACGTTCTTAATTGATTTCTAGGGAAGTATTCTTTAGCGTCGTAAAACCACTCGACTTTTTATTCTGCTATTTTGTGTCATAAAGTCACAGTAGTTTCGGTAATGATTTTTTAAATGACTACAAATTTACACGATTAGAAGGATAAAGCTCAAAATAAGATATATCATTAGCCATTCCAAGTTCCTTCCTTGTAATGCGCGTCTAATTCTGGCTTATGTTTCACGTCAGCCTTACCTCAATATTTAGAATCCAAAGTCTGATAAACCACTCGGAGAATTGACTTATGAGAAATTGAATTCACTCGCGGAAATTAATAATTTATAAAAATTAATCTCTACTTTCAACAGTTATATAAAACTTGTAAAAATGTTTTATGCGATGCCCCATTTTGAGCGAGTATATCTAGTCTATAAATAGCTATTTTAATACATGCATTGGTATTTTCAACCTGAACCTGCCGCGATACATGTTCAAGCGGACAAATCAGAGACCACAAAATTAAAGCAGAGCCGACCCTAATTTTTAGCTGCTGACCAGGGATAGAACAACTAGTCAGTAGCAGCCTCAACACAGCACACCTATTCTTAGTTGAATGTTTTAAAATCAGAGACCACAAAGTTCAAGCAGAGCCGACCCTAATTTTTAGCTGCTGACCAGGGACAGAACAACTAGTCAGTAGCAGCCTCAACACAGCACACCTATTCTTAGTTGAATGTTTTATAACGCGGCCACAGAAGAAAATGTAGAGTGTGTTGAGCAGTATATCACAGACTCAAACCTTGGGCAATCCAA